TTAGTCGTAGGATCATAAGAACTATGAAAAACGCTGAACCTTGCACTTACCGTAGCCGCTATTCCCTGTGGACGACTTGACTCTCCATCATCTCCTTCAAACGCCTGCGACAGTAACTCTTTTAGGCCATCCACTGTCAGCGGTTCAGTGAAACTGTCTCCATAGCTGTCGAATTCGGTATTTAAACTTTCAGCGGTTTCTGGCTTCATCACCAACAAATGATTGGGTCGCCAAGGTAGTAGCTTTCCTGCTTCAAGACAGGATTCAAGCCACGAAACGGAGACTATGTTGTACATATGCGCTGAATTACCTCCTGAACGTTTGCCACCAGGAGAGGTGCTACAGGCAGCTAGGATGTTGCGGGTCTGAAAATAAGAAAACATAAAAGGAAAAGTTCGTATACAGCCTTCCAATGGACTGTATATAGTTACTTCGAGAAGTTCTAATTAGGCAACAAGACCACATTTCACTCTTCTAGGAGAATTTCAACAGTTACTAGCTCTAGTGAGCGACGAACTGGCTTTCGAAGAAGGCCTAGACGATTAGCTATAAGTACCCCGTAGACAGCATTTCTCAGTGCAAAATACCATTACACGAAAAGACCAACATCCAATACGCTCATCCTCGAAAGATGATTATCGCACTAGCTGATCACTTGAGAGTGACGCTAGAATTACGTGTTCCATTCTAAAATTTACGGTGACAGGGTAAGCCAAATCGTTCTTTTTGAACCGGAAAACTCCCACTTTGAATATGACGTTGTCTAGTGATTCCTTTTGGTGTCCGGATATGCCCAAGCATGGTGGTCTGAAACGACTTGTGCTGAGCCATTCTTCGCCCTGTCCACAAAGCTGAGAATGACGGTTCGAACACGGCGAAGCTGAAAGCATTTACTTCTGAAATTCCGTAGACGGTTAGTGTAAGATGCGTCGATACTACTCGGGATAACAGTGTTGGATTACTGTGCACAGCTTTCCTGTTTTGCATGATCTTCGAAAAGCGCTTCACTAAAGTGGTCCAAACAAAAAACAGAGGATATTCCACAGGCACCAGCGACCGAAACCTCTAACCTCTATAGTTTCTAAGGTACACGGTCTCGAAGTGGCCAAGGGAAACCGGATGAATGACAGGTTGGTGGGCACAGGCCATCGGAGTAAAGCGATTGATGCGCGTTAAATGTGCAGGTTGCCTTCATAGAGGGTCTAAGCGATGAACAGTACACTCCAATCGAGTTAATCAGATGTGAGAATCATTTGGCTTATTCTGCTTCCGTTGACAGCGCTTGAAAATGGCCAGAAAGTTAAGCCCTTAATTCACTTTGAAAGTGCGATTGAGTGGCTGTTGTAGGCTACTTTATTCGTCATCAAATGTAGCTACATAATTAGCCCAGCCGAGGGTAGTGATTCCAATGAGATGGGGCACAAATTATTAGCAGCGTTGCTAGAACTCCGAGTAACTCACACAAAGTGTGAGTTTGTGTGTGTGAAGCTCGGAGGACGTCACCCGTTTAGTCGAAACCAGCGTGGAGTGTGTCTTATACTATGATAATCAGGAAGCTCTAAAACATCATTTCATATCAAGAATGGTGTGCTCGTGACGAATTCGAATCATTGATCTGCGAAACACCGGGATGGTGTACACATCCCAAACTGTCGGGAATTAGGATCTTCGTGAAAATAAGCAACATATTTTCAGGGCATCCATAAAAACAGAGTCTGATGGTAGTCTGACATGCCGATACAGTGGTGGTAGTCCGTAATTTTGCATCGGAATGAGATGCAACTCCCACACGAAGCAGTTACCGATCTGTAGAAAAAAAAGTTAGGATAAAAGCAATGGCCAATGAGACTCACTTTAGCCGTTAATTTATCTGCTATGATGCAAAATGTGCTCGACCGCGGATTTTGCACAACAGTACCACCAGCTGCCTTGATTTCCTGTTCCAATTCCTCTTTGTCCGCCGAGCTCATGTCCGCAGAGAATAGAAGGCAAAACTCACGATTTTCCATGAAGTTCACACTTGGAAGAAACTGGAAAATATGCAGAAGCCAACGAATAAAGTAATATAATAACGAAATCAAAAGAGAAAGTGATTCAAGGACATTGCCTAAATTTCATGCTCATATGATAAAAGAACCACACGAATGGACCGGACTTTCATGAATTCACTCATCCTTCTCCAGCTGACCGTCTCTATCCATTAAGCGAGCAATTATTGAACAACAAGTTAAACAACGAAGATTTAGCCCTGTGCAGGAAGCCAAACTGTGCTATAAAAAACACAGAAGCACCGTACGTCTGTTTCATTCTTGTTGGGAATCATCAACACTACAAATCTCAAGAAACTTCAGGGAGTCTCGAACGGCTCGTCACCGCACGATAAAGTGTACAAACTACTAACCGGGAGATCGTGGGTTCGGAATTTTGTGAGATTCGTACTGTTGATGGATCCCAATAAGGATGGAACAGGTGTACAATGCTCCTCAGCTTTTAGCACAGACTGACTTCAGTTACAGGACGAAATTTCCATTTAGATCCTCCAATGTCCTTACAGTACTACCAACGACTTAAATAGTATTTTACAAACTTCACTGATGTAAACTATAGCATAACCCGAAAACCACATGATTGTAGGAGACTCCAGAGGTGATTGCTGGAAGTGACTACGATTACGCACACCACCTTAAACTCAACACAAACACTTCAACGAAGTTTAGGGAATATTTCTTGAAAATCCAGACAAATAGTTCCCGACTATTCTTTGCTCAAGTCTGGGATCTAGTAAGAAACCGATAAAACTATTAGAAGTTACTGAAATTACCGACCTTGTTCAGTGTGGGTACCAGGACTGGCCAGATGAGTTGGGAGGAATCTTCAAAGACACTAACGGGAGAGGAGTGGATCGATGTCGCAATTATGCGCAAACGAAGGTCCAACCATACTTTGCAGCAATGAAATAGTTCTCTATACATATTAGGCATCTGAAACAAGACTTTTTCTACTATTGTGCAGTGAAACAGTCTCGGTGACCAACAAATAAGTAATGATGTTTAGTTTGTACGTTCAGAAGATGCAAGCAAAGCATGATGTGTCAACGGGTGCAGCTAAGTCGCCCAAAAAACGGGTGTAGTTCAGCTACTCGTAAGTTTGAGTAGCGTGAATGAAATGATGTTTCTGATGCCCCGACATGCATATCGTGAAGGCACCGCGGAATCCAAAAGCTAACCAGCAGGCAGTGGCTTGGTAAACGAAGGTTCAACTAAGTAGGTTATTGAAGACGATTTCCCATACCACACATAGGCACTTCAACTTCATACCGAACCTCCACCACGCCGGTCACAAAATGAAGGTTTTGTCACCCCTGGATGGTAAAACCTAGCGAGAGGGACCTGAGAATGACTGGACTAAATAACTCATCCGTTTCGTGATCACCGGTACCAATCAATTGCCTTAACCACTAATCTTGTAACCGAAAACGCTGGGCGTCTTTTTATGGGCCGTGCTACGGGGAGCATTAACTGGTATCTTCGCCTCATGAACTGCACCATCCGACGATTCCACGAGTTTGCTAAGCGATGAATATGCGATCAGTTAACGTCACGTTCACCAGTAATCCAACTTTAGGTTGTCGGTCGGCACTGGTATACTTGTGATGGTGCACCGGCTATGATCAAGTACAGTGCATCCACCCTGAAACAGTACACAATTGGGTTACGTAACGCAGAGTTGGGCAATTTTTAATAATGCAAATGTTGGGCAAGGCACTCAGCTTCCAGGAAGAATCAACTCAAAATTTAGACGGACTGAGGCATAGATACAACAGAAAAACGAATTCATCCACTGAAAATGTCGACGAACACAATAAGCAACGTCAGGTCGCTAGGAGTAGCCCGCATCTACGATACTTCGCAATCAGATTACTCTTACCAAACTTGAAGGACGCATAACATCAGGCAGAGAACGAGCCATTGCAGTGTTCTGCACGGATCTAACAGGGAGTCTCCGCTTCTTCACTGGAGTTGATGTGGCTCGTGGGGTGCTAGACCGCTTCGTGCCAACGTATAGATTACCATAACTCTTTTCATCGCTTGTAGACGTATTGTGAGTATCGGAACTCAACGACAGCTCATCCTCCAATAAGGTGGGATCATTCCGGTCACTGGGACTAGATGGTTCAACGAGGGACCGATCGATCGCATCGTTATCACTGAGTGGGTAATCACTACCCTCCAGCTTAGCAAGGCGTCTGACAGCAAGTTTACCCTGATAGGAAAAGAGCGAAAGAGAGATCCAATCGAAGTAAGTTTATTCAAACCCGTCTGGTTTATATAACGTAAACCTCAGATCTGGAAACCGTTTGACTTGTAGACTAGTTCACATCTCACTCATTCTAGCAGTAGTGACCATGTTCGTATTGATACTGTATGAACTTGCAAACTTACTAGCCTCGTTCATCACCAGCGGAGCCGGCAATCTATCAGACGCGTGCGGTTACAATGGTACCTACCGCATGTTTTGTTACCCATTGCTGTTCGCAGCAGTGATGGTAAGAATCAGGAAATATAATTTTTTCCTCATAGCAAAATGGTCATCATTGGTAGTGTGAGGAGATTTGGGATTTTTGTGGAGATTTCGTCCTGTAAGTGGAGCCAATCTATGCTGAAAACAAAACAACCTATAAGTAGCTCAGTGGAAGAATAAACTTCACCGATGAGTGAAACGTCCATCTGAGAAGTCGTTGCTCGAGGAGCCAGTCAACACGTGTGACCGCGTGATGTGGATTCCGTGATTGAAGGTTGGGCGGCGCTATATCCTGTCTAAGTGCGAGGTAATCACACTGCTGATCAGTCGCTCGTGGCCGAACGGTTAAGTGTTCAAACTACTAACCAGGAGGTCACGGGTTCGAGACTCTTCGGAGTTTCGTGAGATGCGCACTGCTGATGATTCCCAATAAGGATGAAACAGCTGTATAGTGCTTCTCGGCTTTTCAGCACAGATTTGCTTCACTTACAGGACAAACTCTCCACAAAAAATGGTCTTCATTATTTAGTCGTCTCGACTAAATTCATCGGACCGTGTGCCAGTTCCATATTCGTATTGGATGTACCAATCTCCATAGCAGTGGGGTAAATGCGGTGTAAATGGGACCGAAATTAGCCTCTGGGCGGACTGCTTCACACATGCACTAACTGTTCTTCCAAAGAGATCATTACAAGAAAAGTTGCTTGGATGAAATACGTTACGTCCAAGAAATGTGTTACCAATTGCTCAGTAAATTCAAGCAGTGGCCCTTCCTCATGGTAAATCGCGTCTTACGTGGAACGTTGTTGTGAACTCTACACAGAAGTGGTCGCATTTCCGGTGGACCTCAGTTGAGTGTTTTCTCGAGCACTTGAACAGTCAACGGCATCTTATTCCGTGCAGTTTTAAAGTCTGCTTGATCCGACCGAAATTTAGATGCTGATCACCTATGAAACGTTATTTTCCCGTGCAAATTTCCGGGTGCGTCCGAAAAAGTCGACATGTTTTCGTCCATACTGCCGAATAACTTTGAGGAATCGAGTGTGACCGTTCCTTTTGGTAGTCCTCTGTATGCATTGAATTCGCGTTGTTTTCGCAATTATCAGTTGACAGAAATTAACGAAACACATCACCACAACGGTACACAACTTGGAACCTGACAGTAAACTAATACCTGTAGTGAAACGGGCGTTGCTTATTCGAAGATCTATCCGAAGGGGCATAAATCGGGCTTCTGAAAGTTCAACAACAGAGTCATGGAGCAATAGTAAGTGCGCTCCGGCTTATGACACCTCTCTGTGCATACCTGTGTCTCTGTATTCAAGCGTACAAGTTCCTCCATTGTGAGACAGTCCTGCCATGGTTTGTCGTCTCGCACAGCGACCACACGCGGAAAGCGAGCTGTGAGGCCGGTCGCATACGAACCACTTGAAATGAGTTCGGAGGCATGTAACTAAGGTGGTAGAAAAAAGGACTACAAGGTACAAAACCTACATAGTACATCATAGCAGCAAATGACATTTACCAACAATGACAAAAAAATCCTGGATCGTACTTTCTACAGGGTTTAAGTAATCGTTCGCCCGAAAAGCCTCGAGAAAATTATCAAATCAAAATCTACTGTAGTTCAATCAATACACAACTTGGTGCGCTCCTTTCCTATAGCGATGCTACGTCAAACGTGATCGTCATTCTCATCCCCCGGATGGTTGTTTTTTGTGTTTCACTCCCAGTAAACCATTTCGTTCTAGTCTGGCATGAGGCCGGCTTCTTCTAGGCTCTCGCGTCTGAAGTAAAGAAACTCTGTTCAGTTGAACAGTATTTCCCCGAGTGTCATTTTCGCCAATAAACGAATGATAAAACAGCAAACTTGGAGTGGACACGCGGAAATTCACTAGGATGTGAGTGCAGGATGCAGAAATATACTGCCAATCACAGAAGCGCTTGGCTTGGGAGAACCTCTGATCCGGCTTATCTTGTGCTCATTTGTAGACAGCATTTGTTTGATTTGTCGATCGAAAATGGAGGAATCGGCGTATTAAAACTGGGAGTTTTCTCCTCATCAACAAATTTGAGCCACACGTAAGATAGGTCAAACTTTCGAAAAGATCGGTGACACTTTTCAGCTCACTGTATCCGGATTCTACAAGTCTAGTGATAAGTTATGTGCTTCATTAAAATTCCATTCATTGCTGAATTGTGTCGAAAACTTCTACTTCATATGCTCATTGTAGGGGGGTTCTGTATATAAGTAACGGTCACCCAAACAAGTTACATTTCTGGTGATGCCATTAAGAAAAAGGAGGCTACTTTCTGGGTACAAATAAGTAAGAAGCCAAAAGAGTTTTTTTCGGAAACCTGTTCTCGGTCATGTTGAGATATTTCAAAATTTTACGGCCGGTGGTGTGCGACTAAAGCGATGCGGTGTAGTACGGACTAGACCCTGTTGACATATCTATCGAAGGTAGTGGGAAAACACTCCACAGAATCTTCAGCGAACGTCTGCAGCTGTCACGAATGGCAGAACGGGGGAATAAACAAGAAAAATTACCGATGACTTGAGCGGATGGACGACAACTCTGTTGACAGCGAAAGCAATAGACGACCGACCACTAGGCGTCAGTCAGAAGTGAGGTTCAAATCGCATGTTTCTCATCAAACAATAGAAATTGAGGTCCTAGATTCACCAACTGACCGGAACATAGGATAACAGGCCAGATGATACAACCGCTCAACCGAACAACCAGTGGTAATCGAAGGTCTGGCCTGGCTAGCAGCACATATAGTGACGTACATGCACCCTACTCAACGTAAAGCCATTGATGCAACGCTACGCTCCATTCCGCTTTAATGATATCACCTCGGTTTGGGATTAAACGTTTGCAATCAACTCAGCAAACAAACTAATGACCATCAGCAGTTTCGACTCCTATTTAGTGACTTGTCTCAAAAGGTGCACGTAGATGTCTGAGACAATCTGTGATATATGAGTCTAAATACGAAGCACGGAACCTAAAATGCTGTTCGTGCGAAAACGTCTCACCTGCAGTGTTACCGAATGCTGCGGTGCTATCCAAACATCTGGTCGTTCGGTTGTGACTCTAAGCCATTCAGTGAATCCTGTGTTTGGGTGTTTCCGGTCGAATGGTTTCCAGTGCGGGCCAAGCTTATGATTTAGTTCTTTGAATTGTTTGACTGTAAGTCCAGCGCTGACCTAGTTGAATGCAGCAAGTATGTGGACGTTCAACATGCGTATGGGTGAAGATGTACATGGCACTAGGACGCGTTGTACGGACCAGTAATAAAAAAATTGAATATCATATGTTTTCAGCTGTGATGCCCTTTCGGTCCATAGCTAAAACGCTATTCGAGGGAAGCACGAGGATTGAGATACTGTCGTACTGTCCAAGCCTAGATAGGAGTAGTCGAAAGGCCAAGGTAGGGCTCGAACCATGCGATTTCCGGGCACCAGTTACACATCTTAAACGATGAACCATCTCGAGCTCTACCCTATTTCCAGAGCTATGCCCTAAATCAGTAAATTTTACGAGATGTAGCAGTGGGATGCAGGGATGACGTGGTTCCGTCAGCAGCTGATATGTCAAAGTGAGATCACAGTGTCATCTCCTGTAAGCCACGAAGTAAAACCCGGGCGGAATAGGCGCTCACTCTAGGGCAAGTTTTGGAGGTTACGTCGGGACTTTGTGGAAGGTAGTTGTGCATTTAGGCATGTTCATTGTGTTCGTTGGGTGAAAGCAAGCTAGCGCCTCTTGTAATCGGCACCTGGTAACAGCATTAGGACCAGGGTGGTTTGTAAGTAGTAAGCGAAACAGTGGTGGAAAACACACAGGTCGAGATCCACAAGTTGTTTAAATGCCCCAGTTTGAGTCCCGGCCACCATGCTGAGATTGGTTATTCAACGTGGAGTCCCACCCGAAGGAAGCACGAGGGCTGGGATACTGCCTAAACAGGGGAAGTCGAGAGGCGGAGGTCGGATTCGAACCACGGACCTTCCGGTCAGTAGAATCGCGCTCTAACCCCTTGGGCCATCTGGCCCCCGCTAGATGACTGAGACCCAGGGACAACAGTGACTAACAGAGTTTTCTGAAGGTGAGAAGAAGGATAGAAAGTTGAAAATTTCCCCTCATCAATAACCAGCAAGCTCCGATATTGAAGGCAGCTGGTGTGTTGTTTGCCGTCTGTCCAAGTAGTTGCCTATCGTCGAGTTCCCGAATCCCACTGTTGAGTGGTTTGTTGGATTCTTGATCGTACTGAAAATCTGTTTCCCCAAGTAAAACAATCTTCGCCGAGAAGAAGTATGTCATCGAACGAACTTTCAATTTATTACTTGTAGGAGTCGAAAACCGGTAGACTGATGCTAAAGCCATGGTCATTGACTTCAGAAGATACATCAGCACTATCTATGACGTCACCGTTACCTACAGCTCCTACTCAATAAGCGTATGGCAATCAGAAGTAGTGTGGACTTTAAAGTCAAATGACCAGCGGTCAATGTAGTATCTTGTCTGTTCCTTGCAGAAAGCCCGACAAGCTGCATTTTTTGCATTTGGAGTCAAAGTTACGATAGCCATTTCCGGTAATTATAAGTTTGTTATCGTTTATTATCATCCCAAACGAAGTCAAAAGGGACACATCCGGAGAAAATCGATTTGCACCGCATGTCCTAACACAGTTAATGAGGTAAAGTGAAGCACGCCTGTATATTGGGAAAGTACGCCCACAAGTTTCTTGCGCTCCAAAATAGAGTCAAATTTCGATTTCCTCTGCAAAACTTCAACAAATTGTCCATATTTGTCAACTTCAATGAGTAAATGCAACTTGGGACCTGATTCACACCAAGCACAACATTGAGAGCCAATCACCTATTGATATACTATATTTTCAAAGCGGTCGCTTTCTTCGCAACCGACTTTCGTAACAAACTCTAGAGGTTAGGGATTGAATGGAAAACCAAAACCACTATCGGAAAATTGATAAACGGTATGCCCCAATGGAAAACAAAATCGCGTTTTGTTTTTAGTCGCCGAGTACATATGAACATATTCCAACAATATAAATGTGAATTTCAAGCTGACGTGTAACTAACTAAGCTTGTGTGCACCGCATTACTAAAAAAACTGGCTGGTGTGTCATACATAAGTCCTCATCTCACTCCTCTAGCATAGTGGATGATAAATAACTATGAATTCAGAAATAACACTGCCTTCAAACTAAGCTAAACACTGTACACCGATGCGCCTGTTGGCAATCAGAACAACTGATTGTCATCATTCACGGACATCGTCAATTTCTGATGCCAATATTGCGAAAATTGAGTTCGAAATAACTTGGTGGTTAAGGTGCGAATCGATTGACCGGGAAGTCTGTGGTTTGAACCCGACCCCGGCATCTCGACTGCTCCTATGTCAGCTTGAGCAGCCTAGAGGTATCATAGTCCTCGTGCTTCCATAAGGTAGCATGGCAGCTAGGCACCGAAAGGGTGTTGCAGCTGAATGATTGTTAGAATTATATTATTGTCTTTACACATGACTACAAGTATAAACTTACACGGCAAAAAGAGAGAAAACAAGGTAGAGGTAAATCATCTTGTTGGTTCGAATGGTCCGGACCGCGGACAGCGCACAAGAACTGTCGTACTCGTTTACTCTGGTTGAGATGCTTGGAACCTGATGCTGAAGAAAAGTAACCCCCAACAATCAGACAATCCAAATCTTCCAGTAGACCGGATACGTAATCTGGCTTTAACTTCCACCACCCACCCCGCTGACGACGACCGGGGAGATAAGGACTTCGGCCGACTGTGAGTTTAGCCACAAGACCCTCTTGACGATAGTCCATTAGATAATCAAACACTTTGATGATGTGATCCGCCATTATAGGAACTTGGCACCAACCTGATAGGTAAATGGTGCCGTCAATCACAGGGAGTGGAGGGGGGCAGACGACCGGTGGAGTTTCTGAGTCATCGTACGTTGAGGCCAGTGGTCGCTCAGAGATGCAACTGTTGGCTGTCGGCTCTAGACCAAATACTTGAGCAAGCAAGCGCTTGCGTTCCACAACAGTTTTGTTGGTTATGACCTGAAAATTGAAGCCAAATGATGAATAAGAGACAAATGACTTAGAAGCATGGGAGGAAGTAAATAGTAACCAAGAGGAACAACCGACTTTTATTCCGAGCGGGCAGCATGCACCTCGACCATTGAAACCAATGATATCACACTAAACAATCAATCGTTCTGTAGAGATCGGGAACTAGAACGTGGACAGTGAGAAGGAGAGTGCTTTGCTGTGAACTTTAGTGGTGCTAGCTTCGCTCTGTCACTTCGACTAAAATGGCCTGAAAAAGACCCCGCACGTTTTGCATGAGTTTCAAATGGTGCGCGTCTTCGTTCACAATTCGGGGGAATAGAGCAAGAGGCTCAATGAGAGGTGAATGGGCATGCTGAACACTGAGGTTTGACTTGATACTAGGAGGGGGCAAAGGAATACGACATCACCGTAGTCGGTAGCGCCTTGAGCGAAACAGAGCGTCAAACTCACTGTCGTCGCAAAACGGAATCAAACTGTTGGCGAGTTAACGGATTCTATCTTGGAGATTACATGCCACTACCAAACGATAGACTTCCATGGTCTTTTAGCAGCGCGTAATTGTTTAGAGCAGTAACGGAGAGCTTCCCTTCTGCAGGTGTCAGAGTTTCGCAGGCATCGTAATTTCTGACCGAAATACAACTCGTAAAAAATCATAGGATCATCTGTGTTTCCCATTGTAACCCCGTTCCTTAGTGAATGGCACTGACTGATTCCTGTTCAGCTCAAGCTTACTAATCGGAAAGTTCGTGGTTCAAAACCAACCTGTCTAAGCCTGGGCAACCTAATAGTATCTCAACTCTGGTGCTTCCTTTGGGTGACGCAAAATTGTATCGCAGATAAGATGGGACATTGCTAGTTTTGTATTTTCTCGTTTTCGAAAAAAAGCTGCATGGAACGCTCAGCTGTAGCACCCTTTCGGTGCCTAACTGCCATGCCACCCGAAGGAAGCCCGAGGGCTGGGGTCTTGCCAGGTTGCTCAAGCCTAGGCAGTAGAGCCAAGAAGCAGAGGTTGAGTTGGAACCACGGACTTTCCGGTCAGTAAATTCGCGCTCTAACCATTGAGCCATCTTGCACCAGCATAGAGACTACATGCAACCCCTTAACGAAATTTATGGGTGTGCTCTACACTAAGCAAAACTGTAGACATCCATAAAGGTTTCGACACGAAGTGACTGCAAAGAAACATCAAAACCTTTCTTAGACAAAAAGCAAATTGGCTGTTTGGGTTCTCTTATCACTTTCGTGCATCTCTAAAAGTTGGTCAAAGAGATATATTCTCGCAACTAGTGAGTTTGACTCCCAACTGATTTTTTCGCTTGCTGAACAGCGATCATTCAGTGTCATTCATTAAGGATTGGAGCTACGATGCGAACAACGGATGGCCCTATTGTATCACGGAGTGTGTAGTGACTATCTGTTCGAAATGCGAACACTGGACCAAGCTTGAATCGGTCAGCTAACTGATTTTCTCAAGCTAACGAAAACCAAAGTTATGCACGTGCAAGTAAAGTCAATTCTGTCCAGCTGGCCACAGGCAAACAGGTATTGCATATGTAAAACATGTTAAATGTTCTGGGAACTTTTGAAAATCTCATGTATGTTCTGCTGTTGTTGGACCAATGTCGGTCAGCTTCTTTATGGTCGACTTCTTTTTGAGAAAGCATATATTGTGTCCTATCTCAAGCAGTCGGTTATCGTTCGTCGACCGTGGTTCCGTCCGTGTCAGATATTAATAAAACAGTTTTATCCTTCCTTTCTCGTTTAGCATGCACCGAAAGTGACTATCTATAGCTCTTATTGTTGAAGTCATTCAAACTCACTTCTCCGTTTAAATAGAGTAAATCAAACACAATCAAACAGGGCTGATAATTCTCTGCATCCTCAGCGGACAGTGGTGGGTTGCGGAATAGATCGCTGTCCAGGTGGCTGCGCTTGACATCGAAGCCCGTAGTTTTTGGCATTATCACATCCGTCCAGGTGTTGTAAGCCATCATCTCTCCGTCGATTATGCAACTTTGAACATGGGAAGCGAAAGCTTTGTGGAGCCGTGGTGTAAGTGAGCCTATATCCTGATCTCCATCGGCACCGTAGCTCGCAGTCCATTCCAAGCAGTTACGGGACCAATAGCGATATGAGGTGCCGGATTTGTGAACCTGGAGGAAGAGACGCAGATTGTGATTAACGAAGCTCTGTAGGTTAGGGAAGATTTCGCCATATCCATATAACACGATACAACACAACAAATGTTGAGAGGATCCAAACAGGACTAACTGTATGCTGGCGCGACCAGTCTGACCGCTCACTTCACATCCAAAACTAATAAACTGAGAGCGTTGTGGGATCGGTGAGGAACCGTATGTGGAAATTTATCAACAAAGGTGATGGAAGGATTTGAACTACGAAAGATGGTGACGAGCAAGCCCTTGACCGGAAATTGTAGTTACCTGAACCCTCTCACCATCATACTTGGTCTCCAACATCAGGCCCAATTCTGTTGGAGCAGTCCCACCGAGGGTGCACAAAGCTAGCGCAGATGCGCAAAGTAATTCTGGGGAATCGGAGCGTTCACAAAGCATCGGTCGAAAAGGGACGAATAAGTTGACTGTTGCTCCGTCTTGACTAACCGATGATAATGACGAAGGTGAGACTTTTGGATCCAGATCCGCAATGCGTTGACAAAGCAAAGTCAGGTCCTATGTGAAGCATTTCGAAAAGAATGGAACAAAAGTATAAAACAGGTAGTTATAGAAATTACCTTAAAACCCTATGATAATAAACTAGTGAAGAGGGTTATGTATACAGTTTGAGAAACTGTAACTTCCATTTTGGGTCATGGGGGCAGCTGGCATTCAGGAGAACAGTATGGAGAATGGCTTTCCAAGCAGAAGCGAAAATTTTTGGGACGCTACGGGTCGCAATGCTGGAAAACAAACAAACATTCAGAAAGGGTATAACTTCCTCAATGCAGCGTCGACCATTTCAGACTGCACAACATGTGGACACACGCACCTTAGTAGAATCGGCTTTGGGGGCCACCAGCATACTTGCCGGTCCGTGTGATAAACGTAATCTATTGGAATCTAGGTAACATTACATTCTTTAATAACTACCCGCTCGACGGTATCACCCTAAAGATGACAACATTAACCACAAGGTTAATAAAATACCGCCATGTTATCCACTAGTATTCTGACGCTGATAATACTTGAATTGTGCTGTACCGAGAAGCGTGCGGTTTAGGCTGAAACTTAAAGGAATTGACAGATAACGTCGGTACCTCGATGATAAACACGCAACTGATACTGGTACACAATCCTATATTCTCGTGTTTAGGCCGGCCCAAGGATTGCGGCAGGTTTCTGCAAGTTTGCCTCCCGATCTTCCTCCCTCGGGGTTACATTGACGCCAACAGCTTGCGCGCAAGGCTACATTTGGCTCCGCGCCGTTTGTGACTTCTTACTATGCGTGTATTTCCGGTGCTACGACTGCTGTTGACTGGCCAGTCCGATTCTGATGTCAGTCATTCACACAAAGAGGGAGAAGACAGCCCAGGCATTAGCAATGAAGATTAAAGCTACCGATAGCAAATGAAAAGGGGAGGTACATAGAACTCGATGTGAAGTTCACCTCGGACTTCATTCTTTGAGCATAACCAAAAGTTCACGGAAAAACCAGGCCAGTCTCATTCACGGTCAAAGTTACATCGTTTCGTTGCTGGAGATATGTCCACAAAGAATATCTATATACTGTTCAGATTCATCAAGAAAAGATGCGTGCCGATGCCTGTTGCTTCGGAGTAAGTATGCTGGCAATCTGTCCCGACTAATGAACGTCGGGCTTTAAAAAAGCAGAGCCAATGTACACAAACAGACAAAGAACAAGACCACCATTATCATCTACAATATGACATCAGTGTACAACACTGACGCTTCGGCAGCGGAGCTAAGAAAAAGATAGTAAAAATGATCCTACCTAGGCATACTGACCTGCGTCACATCCCAAAGATCAGGTGCTGCGGGATGCAGACAATGCAGAACATTTGCGGCAGTCATTCCACACCCAGAATCACGTCGTACAACCAAACGTACAAGCCATTTGTGCTCCAACGCCGTAGCTGAACGCATAAAGTTCTGCATCGTGCTGAGTCGCTCGTCCGCAGACTGCGCACCAGCGAGTTTATCCAGAAGTTCATTCACGTCCTGAAATAAAAAAACAGATGGAACCCCACACTCACGTAGACCAATCAGTCACTGCAAAACTTCTTAAACCCACGTGAGACAACGGGGTATTAGTACCAATTACGGTTGAATCGCGTGTTCCCGAAGGATTGTTAATCCCAATGAAGAGCCTCAAAACATCCTGCAGGTAGAGCTTTTTCCCATCCAAAGGATATTCCTCTCGAACCCTAACAAAGCTTCCCTTCCACAGTGATGTAAGATGTAATAAGAATGCAATATACACACGCAGCATAAAAATATAAATATCAGTGCACCTTGTTTATATTGAGGCAACAGATTTCGATAACAGCCATTTATTACTACAACAGTAGCTTATGGATGCATTGACTAGGGGCCGAGATGTCCTGGAGTGAACGCCCTCCCAACATCAAGTTGAGCCACCCTTATATTTAAATGATACTAATTTAGGATTACTGACAAATTATCTTGGAGGTAGGTTACTTTAGGAAAAAAGGGATGTCACAAGACAAACTGTACGCGCAACCCAATATCGATTAGGTCACCTCAGGAGGAATGGAGAAATGAGTTAGAAATGGCGAAATGGCATTCCTACCAACCAATAAAAAGCATACCCACTTCAATCGACCGCATGTTAACACTGACATAATTCCACCAGCCGTTCATGTAAAACATGCATTCACAGATTCATCAAAGGGCAACAACAGTTGAAAAAAACAGTGAAGGCATTCAGAGGGAAGGAGGGGTTTTCGAAGATTAGTGCCAAAATAAACAGACGTTCTGAGTCAATGGGCAAACATCAACCTACTCAAATGAAGCAGGATGGTCTCGGGCGAATTCTGTGGATAAATCAGAATAGTTTGTCGCCACTGCACCACTCTAAAAGTGCGCACACTTAATAGGAACCATACTACGAAATGGCTACCAGGGAAGATTCTTTTGAAAACAGTCTGAAAAAATCTAGAGCGGACCCGGTCGTAACTGTTAAAAAGCACGAGTATTTCTTGAATTTAAGGGAAGTTACATACTCGAAAACAGCAAACTGAAGCTAACAACCGATTCTAATCGCACATTCCCAGTCGCAAGCATAAGCTGGTCTACTTTGGCTCTGCGACTCCAAACAAGCGACCCTTTTGCACCCCATAGCAACTACCAGTTCAAATGCAATTACAATATCACTCGCATCGATGGGACAGACCGCTGTCTCCCAAAATGTATGGTACGTAACCTTGTGAGTAGTTTCCCTTGAGAAAATACACTGCGATATTTCGAATATCGTATAAACTGAAAAACGAAGCGGTCTTTGTGCAGCACATTCTTCAGTTTGCAAATGAGTGTATTTGTTTGGTACGCACTGAGACAGTGGTTACTTAGCGGTTAGTCCGTAGCACGAAACCTCGCATACTCAACTGCTAGACATCCGATGGTCATTTCGTTGACCCCAGACAATCGTTACCATTAGAGCCCGGATTCTAATGCTGATTAAGCTAAGAAATTAGGTTCGATATGAGCGAAAAAGCTGTTTACTCAGAACATCTGTCGAATCTAGAACTAATTTCCAACTGTCTCTCGCTCGCCCTGGATTCCATCACATATTTTCCCCAGTTGTTGCTACCATGTGGCAAAGCTGCAAACGCATAACTGTAGGTGAACGGTTGATGGAGATGAAAAAAGCGCCAACATGTCGTCAGTTCTGTTTTCCCACAGCTTTGATGTAGGGCTTCAGATTTTGAAAGTTTACACAGACCGAAGAAAGAATAAAAAACGAGTGCAGATCATTGTCACGAGTCAGAAGAATAGGACCTCAGTCCGCTTACGTGACTGCATCTCATTTTCTTATCCGTCGGACTTCTGATGCTGGATTTCTGTATTCAGATTTCGATTCTGCTGTATTCGATTATCAGATTGCAGGTGTAAAAGCGTGTCGGGACTTGTGGAAATTAGAGTTTCGCCGAAATCTGCTTTCTCCAAAGTAAGCATGCGACGAAGCGACTGTACATACAAAAAAGCATCATCATCATCATCAACGACAGCATGACATCAGTGCTCAACACCGATGCTTCACTGCCGTACAACCATGACTTATTTGAAAGCCTTATTGTAAAGAAAAAGCAAGAAGAGCTCAAGGAAACCAAAATGCTGATTCTCAACCATTAATTTGTGGTATCAAGAAGGATTTGTATCTTTTTCTGTCTTCAGATAAATAAAAAGGAAAACAACGGAACCGCTGTTATGTGAAAAAAAGTCGGCGAAGGCGCACCCTGGGTGTAAAGTAGCACTCACCTTTAAATTCAACACACTGTCTTCCCTGCAGCGATTCCGAACAACGTCAAAAACCAAGTCTGCAAAATCAGCATTTCTTGTCAGGTTTGTTGACTGTCCGGTCGGATGCATGAGACTTTGAGCAACAGGACCCGTACTAGCTATGCCAAAAGCTTTAATATATAATCTGGACAGAGCGGTTTCCCGTAATCCATAAGCCGGTCTAGCCCGATCAAACTGAGGAAGCATTAGTCTCAGAAGTGGGTAGAAACTTGCACGACCAGCCCCAGCACGAGTGTCAGCACCGGGTAAACCAAAATACTGTGTTTCCCAGAGAAGAATGAATCGAGCCAGTACAGCCTTTTTCGCCTTGGCAACTTTCAACCCTCTTAGCTTGTCCAACAGGTGGCAAGAGGTGGAGAACGATACATGTTTCGCGATACGGTCACCCTCGGATACCACGTCCATTGGTTTGTACGGCCAGTAACCTTCGAAAAATGGTGCGTTACGGGTTCGGTATGCGGTCTGTCACATCTGGCGATCAACTGCGGGTAGGAAGGAGTTTTTCAGCTAGTGAAAATTCAATGTACAGATGTATTGCAGGTAGAGAACAGATAGAGCACCGCACACTTTAACATACAACGGGTAACAGTATCTTCAATAGTTCGATAAAACACACGTCAGAAGCAGCACTCGAGCCTTGAAGAGAATACATGATGAAAAAGTTGATTGGGTGAGACGAGGGGGAGACGGAAAGGAGTGTTTCTCGAACCATGGAGGTTAGGCGGATTTCCTTTTGAAAGGTACTGCCCATCTTCCATATACGATACGATCAGTGCTCGATCGCTGTAACATACTTCATCATAGTGCTCTGATACGAAAATCCGGACACCTTGAGCGCTCGGAGTTTCACTAACAGCATCAACGAAGCAATACATGACCAATATCGAGGAACACGAAGACTCCGCGCTAGCATGCATTTGGACAGTGTCTTTAACTACACAGTAAGTAAACAGATGGCAGATTCGCGTACTCTAGAAAGGCATGGTGAAGTGAAAGGCAGTGAGCTCTGATAAGCTCACTTGTTTCGTTTTTGCAATATTGGTTACCACCACGCGATGATTATCAAGCTAAAAATAAAATCGCTCAAATTCACCGGCCCCTAGAGTCAGATCTGTCCTGCAGCCGGTGAGAAACACCAAGGATGAAAATCTAACTGATAAGCTAAGCTTAGAAGCAACAGATTAGTCAGGAAGGGAAGCGACCATGAATCTACACAGCTTAGTCCTCAAGCGCCAAACAAAAATGAAACTCAAGTTCACATGGATAGCAAGGGAGATGGACACTTGGGTGACAAACTCTTAACTTAGAAGCCGATCGACTTACCTAACCATGACGACATCGCCATCTCTAAACGGTCCCATCAACTCTAATGCGCGTCGTGATTTATCCAGGCTACAGTAAAAAGAATCGGCAGCCAATCATCTAAAAAGCACGCAACCAAGTCTTCGGTTTTAATTAGGTTCGTATTTGACGGGAAAATCTCCCAAAGAGATGTCGGCATTGATCATTCAATATAGAACATCCAACAACGTGCTTGAAGTTGTTAACTTCATTGGTTTGTTATTCCTGGACATGGTCGACCTGGTCAAAACTGTTTCACACGGGTTTAGTTTGTCACAGCGAATCGACTGTGAAAATTCATACGCATTGAATGGCATTGATTATGGCTAAAAATGCTATAGTACAGGTCATATCAGCCCAATTCACTCTCATTGTTGATTTTTTCGACTCCATGTGGTTCCACACCGCATCAGACTGCCGGCAGTTTCTCGCTGCTATTATCGCCACAAGAGTATAACACACCGAGGGACATCGTTGCTCGATATTTCACCGCCGACAGGTGCTCAGCAGCAATTCGCCAAAAGGGGTTTTGGGAAAAACAGAGCTCATCAAGGATTAACACGGTAGAAGAGGCTGAGATTGCTCAGTGTCTAAAGCGCGAACTTACTGACGGGAATATCCGTGGTTCGAACCAGATCCCTGCCTCTCGACTTCCCCTTTCTAGGCGTGGGCGACTTGATAGTATCCCAGCCCTCGTGCTCCCTTCTGGTGGCATGGTAGTTAGGCACCAAAATGGTGCAGCAGCTGGATAATTTTTTAACGATGAACTGTAGGATCCACTCAGTACCAGTACCCAAGCAACGTGAAATCGAAGCTTTGCATGAGTCCATAGGGGATATTTCGATGGTAACCCACAAATACATCGCAAGCCAATCCATTACTGACCAAAGTATCACTAATGCCAGCAGGGTAATACAGTTTGAATGAAAAATTTGTGACAGACTGTGCGACATAGAACAGACTGATCGGTACAAGCTACACAACACTCGTCAGTACTTAAAGTTGCTGCCACCAGCATACGCTCAGCAGCAGTAGCCCACGCGAAACTAAAGGACATGGAAACCGAGGAGGCAAACCGAACACAGGCCATCGTGAATGACTGCAAATGGTAATCGGTCTGATGAACCAGTAGAATGGTATTGAGTAATATGTAGAATATATCGATAACGTATAACGCACGTCTTGGTCAACCAATGGCACCGCTTAGTCTTTTCAGGCATCCAATTCGTTTAGCTTCAAAATTCCCTAGCGGTATGGGTTATCAGCAAAATCCTCCCCACAGTACAGCGGTTACAGACCCATCAGTATGTGACCATAAATAGCTACAAGTATTTTTTATTATTCTATAGTAAAATATTCTGACAGCTTGGCAACAAAGTGGTCTACGATGAATCAACTACGATCAACTTAGCGATCACCATCAACAACAACGCAGCTCACTTCCGAGCAAGGCCTACTGTCGATCGGTAGTTGGTTGGTATGGCCCTATAAAACGTCCCTTGATTTACCGTTCGTTGCGGAGAGAGACACATCGCAAGCCCGTTGTCATGCTCATCCCAGCAGAGGAACAGTAAGATTGTTAGGTTTTACTCAGGTGACACTGGCTACATTTGAATAATGTAGTTGATGAACACAATACAATACTACTCGTAAAAGTTGACTTTTGGTAGGGTAATCTCTTCTATGGAATGTTCTCTTCAAGTGGCATTCAATGGTAAAAGAAAATTCGTGCTGAAAGAAATCGTTCCATTGTGCAAGCATTTCCCTTCTAATGGGAATCACTATGTTTTTAGTAAGTAGATACTATTGTTATCGTGGACATACTCCTGCTTTTTGGGTGAATAAAATATGCGGACCCGACTTTTTCACCTTGCAAGATCAAACCTGCTGCTAATCAGCACGTCGTTACACCCGCTTAAGTTTAATGGTAGGGACTGAAATGGCAATAACCACCACTTATCGATTATGCATTCTAATCAAACAGGCCATCAGCCACGAACCAACCAACCTTTTTCCCCTGTTAATAACACGCCCCTTGTCCTATTCACCCTTAGGAGATGCAGTGCGTATACTTGGCGGACAGACACGTAGCATAAGGACTTTTCCGAAAAGACAGATTTTCTTCAGGCGAAAAAGGTCGTTCTAGTGGAGCGGGTCAGCCGGCGTACATTACTCCTGCGACTCAAGAAAAGAAGTGCTGTTTGCAGTCAGCGTCCTTTTGGAACCCGAAAAATTAAGTTCTAAGGCGTTTTGCAGACGATTGTGGGGAATCGCTCAGTGCATGCCACTGAGTTGACAAATGCCTGATTGATGCAACCGACTACTTAAAAAATGAATACGCCTGTGCATAGTCAGCTCAGTGGCTAAATAAACACAGGAATGAGTGCACAGAAACACGTTAGACAGAGATAAGCACAAATCAACGAAGCAAAGAACGAGGGGCTATAATAGCTAATCTAAATGCTGGAAACTGCATGCACAAAGCATTTCGCGGCAAACTTTTAATACAATTCGAATACATTCCGTTATATCAATCATTAAAAAAAACGGAATTCTCGCCCATCAAACCCAAACAACCTGGTATAATCATAAAGCACGAACGCACTCTATGGACATTTATACAAAACACATGTTCCATCTCCTAAAATGTGTGAGATATGCACAATTTCCCAGTGCGCTTGTGCCCCGGATACCCATTCAACTTTTGAAAAATTTTCAGCTCCTTGGGTATGGCCCGCATCAGAAAGAACAGTTACTGTAAGTGGCGCTTCTCCCAACAACCGATTTTATTTTGTAGTCGCAACAGCAAGCATATGGCAAACACGATTGAAATCAAACGTTTTATTGCAAAGAATTATGTACAAAGGGTATGAAAAAATAGATCCTTCACAAAGGGAATTCAGGCGACTGGATCCAATGGCCTGTTAAAACCACCACGGCGATTCATATACTGTCGATACTTGCGTTGCTTCGTGATATTAGCCACATAGATCGAATTTCCTATTACATGTTTGCCTTTGGTGGAGTCAAAATCGCAAAATCCCATGATACGCATCATTTCTTTTTGCTCCTCTGTCATATTTTCATCAGTACCTAAAAGTCACAAGTCATAGAATGCATAAAAGTTTACCGTTTGTCGCCGGATTGTTGTTTGTTTCTTCAAGTTCATCAGCAATTTGCCGGGGGCTGGACGACCGAGAGCGCGGCGGGGCTAATTGTGGAGAACGAGAGCGGGATCGATAGCGATCAGGATCCCGACGTTCATGCCGCCTTCGCCGCTCTCGATCTCGTTCCCGGTCACGCCTGTGTCGGTCCTCACGATCGAAATCATAGTCTCGGTCTCTTCGATAAGGTTCTTCACGCTCAAGATATAGGTCTTCACGGTGCCCATGTTTTCGTTCACGAGGGCGCTCGCGCGATCGCGATCGTGGCCGCCTCTCTCGGTCTGTTGGAAAATATAAAAATCGGTAGCTACTGACTCCTCTGGTGACCAGTGTGTACCAGTAGAAAGATCTACTGACAGATGGATTAAACACAGCGGTTTCCTCTACAGAAATAAAGTTTAACATTAAAAGGCGTAGAGCTCTAATAATACGTCAAACTAGTCAGAATCGCAACTCATTACAAACTTTTGTTACACACCATTGTGGGTCAGCATCCGTCTCCGGGTTGGTGTGTTACACTGACCTAAGTTTATGGACACCCATGCACACTGTGTAATGATATATACTATTTGTGCTCAGCTGCATGCGCATTCTCCTGAACACCCTGTACGAGGTGTGAACCCGAGAGAATAAGACTGAAGCGTGAAAAGATGGGAAGTTTTAATGCTATTAGCATATCCAACTGTCCAGTTGTTGACTCAAGCGGGTACAACCAAACAGATGAGCTACACAATGCACGTAAAGCCGTCTGATGGCCCGCATCACCCAGGAGGCGTAGCCCAGAAACAAATGTACGTCTAGCTAATGCTAGGTCTACACAACAATCGTGGTACAGTGGTTAAAATCGTGGACTCCTGTCCAGACGATCCGAGTTCAAGTGCCAGCATTGGATGCCGGCTCCCCGTCTTGAAATGTGTACAGTGCTGTTTCACCAATAAAGACATAAAAAGAGAGTGACTAACTGCCACTACTAGCACTACTATGCGCTTACCATTTCGGAATGTCCAACGTGTTGGTGTGCGCATAAACAGAATAAAATGAGTATACAGAATCTGGAATAGCAGCCACACCCTGGTTCAATTTTCCGTCTGAGTATCCGAAGCTAGTGTTCCCAGTAGGACCACCGAGGGTACATGGTGCATTGAACACCCAAAAACAAGCAGAAAATGCACGAGGCGTCGTACTTAGGGCCTATATAACGATAACACTCCACACACCGGGGACGCCTTCTGACAAGGCCACTGGCAACTACTATTCGAACATGATAGACCGTTAGATGCACATATCCGACTAATCAAAGCTAGCTTTGATGCCAGACAAGCTCCGGTCACGTCTTCTGTCGAATCACGTCTGAGTTATGCCTATTGGTCATTGCATCGCTTAATTATGAGTAATAAGGCTATTCTGTCTACAAAAATCATAGCTCAAAATAATGTAACGAAAATAACAAAACGTATGCGAAACAGACTTGAAGTAGCAATAAAAGCAATACTTGACCCTTGCGGAATGAATTTCGATCTCTCTCTCCCTCTCAAATGGAGAGTGAACCATGGAGGAATTAAGTTACATTAGACGGTATCCGGATACACTACCATATTGTTCAGCTCTAACACCCCTTCGGTACACCTGTGCGCCCCGAAGGAAGAATAGGAGATGAGTTAATGTCAGGTTGCCGAACAGTAGACAGAAGTGGTCCGGATACTGAGGTTCGGTGCAAATCACGGGCCTTCCGGTTAGTAAGTTTATGCCTTTACCATCGGAACATCTGGATTGTCTGCGTGCTTCTGCGGCACGTCACACATCGGTCTTGGGAGAGGAAAGGGTGCAAACAAAGGAGATCTGTTGACGAATTTGACCAAGAATACGGACGCTAAAGTTGAAGAGGTTTCTTGGTATCAGTAGTGCATGTAGGTCTTATTTTCCCGGATAGGTGCTAAGAATCGGCGCTGAATTTATAGAACCACAAACAGATGGGGTTGTATTGGCATAGGTAACAGCAGGGTAAACTGAAAACTACTCGCTGCTCCGAAGATGCGCGCGCAAGTCATTCCCAAACTCTGATTTCGTTGACCAGAACGATAATCCTTCTCACACAACTTCCAGTTCGGAACATCCATTTACTTTTTATCGACGATTAAGGGCAAGCAAACGTTGGTATGATGACGCAATATGCGAGTCCCCTCCAACCGTTCGTCGTAATCACAAATTCAATGTCTTCCAGAGGAAGTATACGAGCCGGACACCGTCATGATTTCTTTTTACCAAGTGTAGCCCTTTTTCTGGAAAAGCCTCCTGAATCGACGGCATGTACTAGGAACGTCCACACAGTCAGGCGAACTCTGGACCGAATATTCACCCAGCTAGTCCTCCCGAAGTACTGATTACAAGTCCCCGCTTGCAATCCCTCGCCCAATTCCTCCATAGTATCCCCATTTATCTAGCAGTATTTTCATTACCCTTGCCCATTGTGCTATGACCTGGTGTACCGAATAACTCCAATCGCCGTTCAGTTATAACACCATTTCGGTGCGCGTCGTGACAGCACCTGAGTCCAGATAACCTAGTTTTGGGGATATAAGTCAGTTATTACCACAACCTCGTAAACAATATCTCGTATTCGTCCATACGAATTGGGCAAATTGTTTCCGAGGTTGTAGTAATAAACTCAGCCATTAGACTATACTAACCCCAATCATACTTACCAGCCCTCATATTGCGGGACATCTGCTCCCTCTACCTACGGTTACTCAGCCTGGAACTGCGAGCAGTAACGAAAACACCTCAACTCCGAATCCACTAGCCTCCAGCTTCTTACCCGTGCACACGTCCACTAAAACTCATATTGCGCGTACTCCAACTTACCACCCTTGTATTATCTCGAACCTAATACTGCAGTGCACATAACTCACCTCGTGGCATCGGAGTGAACAACTGGGGTACGCGAAAAAAAACGGCCCGAAAGAGAGAACTGCGGGCACCGGGGTAAAGCCAAGCGGTGCCAGTGGGACCGAGACAACCAATCAGATTGAACCAATCAGATCAACGCAATCGATTCCCGCTGGAAGTTCGGAGTGGGTGCAACGGGCGCATGGCATGTAGGGGTGGACTCGCATCACTTGGCTCCAGATTTGCTTAGATTCAAAAAGAATGGATAAACACCTTCAAAACGGAATGTACAGTCGCTAACTAGAAGCAATACCAAATCATTTTCACCGAAACAATGGGGTTTTCGAAGTTATTTTTCGGGGAGGTACTCTAATCGATTTACAACTCACGGTTATATTTTGCTCATAGCATGTTGTTTAAGTGAGCGAAATTTCAAGGCCACAAACCATCACCGATTCGCACTTTGTTGCCGGTCTAGGAGAGATAAATCACGAAATAACACTGCAACACATGTTGGCGTTCTTCGGTATTCATTCAAAATGAGATAATATCTACAGAATATTCTATACAAAGTCCTTCAGGGAAAATCGTTTAGTGACGTTCGTTGGCTTTATACTTCTCAGATTTCACAAATAAGCTGAGCTTGTTCAGCGGACTTCGAGCACAACGCATTTTCCTAGTGAGCCCACCCTCCGTTAAGTGTAAGTTTTATAGAACTTCATCCACGATTTGAGAGGTGTCTGTGCGGATGAGCCCCTTCCCAAGATATGTATAATTAGCCTGTGAATAATACAGCGTCACGAGATAACTGGAGGTAGATTATCAACACAATTATATCATTCCTACCATGAATATGACCCTCCATAAGTGGAATACGTCATAAAGCGCAAACACAATGCTGGCAACTCAGGTCATTCATTACCATGATATCGGAAGCCGTTATCACTCGCCTCGACCAACAGTCGCAACTGCAGCACAAAGAAAAACTCATTACTTGCTCAGTTAGTCCAATTGGGAATAATGAGGGTCCGAGCATCGATCGTGGCATTCGGTGATCGTATGCATTATTTGACACAGCCAAGTTAAAGCCAAAGAGAATTATAAGTCCTAAATTAGGTGGTATAAACTTAAGCGATAGCATCCAGGATAGCCACACATCCTCTAACGTCCACCCATGGATGCACGGTGGCGAAGATTTGGTGAATGGGTGGGTACTTTGTGTCGAGTCCACTCAATAAGGGCCACAAATCCCAACTTCATACTGCTTCCGTTTCTCAGGTAGCTTACTATAATGGACAGTTCCGGCGTCCTCATCATAACCATTGTAACAATCAGATACATGAGCAAAATAGCACTCTCAGCGGCCAGGGAATCCTTAATGGGAAACCGATCGCCCAACTTGCTTGCGCTTGTGCTTTTCAGCATCCAGTGGCATATAAAAAAGCGTCCACACATCCGACACACATGTTCGAAGCCACTTGATATTTCAGGCTAGGGTAAGGCTTTTCCCATGTCTGCACATAGGCTTGAGCTCCATCCAACCCATTATTCATGCTGAAGTGTTGTAACCCATCTTCACTCCCACAATCATGTCTACAATATCCGAACCGACGAGCTTTAAAAACAATCACACCTGATGCCAGCATGATGATCTATATGGGGACTGCAAGTCGTTGGATCTTTCAAGGAGTATTGATGGCTAAGCGGGTACTTCACGGTCACTGGACGTGTCGAAGAAACCTCACTACGGTTTCGCGGCAAGTTATGGCACCAGTGTCCATCGACAATATCCAGCCAGGCTTGCATCCCTTCAGCATAGGGGGTGTGACGATTTTGGACCGTTGATATGGCTGCTTGTTTACATGCTTATAGGTAAATTCAGTGCATCTGGAAAGGATCTATTTATTGTTTTCTGATTCCTAGATCAATACACTAGTGCGTCTTATAGATCGCGGTGGTGTCCCGGAAAAGAATATCAGTGATGACGGCTCTAATTCTGTCGGGGTAGAGATGGAATTGAAGCTAGCCGTACATACAGTAGCAACTAACTGGTGCGGTACAACGTCGAGTGGCAATTCACCACACCGCTGGGCAGCCGTAGAGGCGGAGTGTAGGAACGTCGAATAGGTTCCGTGAGACGGATACTAAGGTCATCAGCGAATGAACAGAATACGAGAGATGAACAAGTGGTAAAGTTCCTTACGGAGGCGGAGAGGTTCGCGGGTAGATGCTCTGTTGCGCCCAACCAAGCTAATTATTTTAACAAGTTGATATTGACACCAAACGACTTGCTTGTCCTTAAAAATAGAGTATACGGTGTTTTTCGGGAAGATATATCGAGAGGTATACGTGAGTTACTTGACATGATTAGTTTGGGGGGTTGGGTGAAGGAATACATACCCTT